AATGGGCACGTTTGGGACTCGTTTGCTGTAGTGAATATTATCAAATGGTTTTCGTTATTAAGGTAAGGCTTCACGAAGGCAGGCGCTCGTCAGCGATAATTTGGCTTTGCCTCTGATTTTCTTCAATTTGCTCCAGTGAAATCTCTTAAAATTTTCACAATTTGTGAAAATTGTCTTGCGATAATTTAAAAGCCGAAAAAAATAGGGGTTATGAAGGCAGTTTCTACGCTATTTGAAATTTTGTGTTTTCTTCCTCCATCTCAAATTTAGTCATGATTTTTTTTTATAAAAGGCACGAGGAAGGGCACAAATATGTTTAACGTTACAGTAAATCTCAGGAAAGTCCACCGCATGAAACCTGATAAATCTTACTCGAAAGATCTCTATTTTCTTTGTTGCAAAACTTTACTTAATGGTTACAGAACTTCGCCAAGATCGTGTCTGAGCATGCGTTGACTTTCGAATCTTTCGCCATTTGGCAATATTTCCCACGATGTTTTCTTTTCGGTTGACCTTCTTTTTCAGGGGTTGAAGGCCTGTAAATATTACGGGCGCAGTTACTGGAAACCCTAGATTCCATCAAATACAAACTGTTCTATGTTTAACTATTTTTAAAACACCTTTTCAGATGACAATCGCGCCACCTTAATGATTTTTTTGGAATTATCTCGAAGTTTGACTGAAAATTTTGAATGGGACGTTATCAGTTCTCGTTGTCTTTTGTTACCATAATTTTAGTGATGATGTAATAGCATATGCTGAAGTTTAAAACATTTAGGTTCCCACTTCTTGCCAAGCTACCTGTTTGTATTCATGATTTTGGAAAAACGGTATTGGTATTTTGAGTAACTCTACATTATTCACTCACTTTTTTCTTTGTAAATCTCAACTCTGAGGCAGTTGTGCTTGTGACGCTGGGTTGGATGAAATCGGAAGTATCTTGCATACATTGGCAGTGATAACTTGTGCTGGTCGATTATCAAACTACTTCCTTTCCTCTGAAATTCCTTTGATACAAATATGTAAAGCATGGAATATTAATTCGTTTAAAAGGGATGAAAATCCTTGAAAATTAACTTTTTTCCGAAAGCCAAAACAGCAAAGCAAAACAAAACAAACTAGACGCTATTGAAGCATTAACTCGAGCTTGCTTTGGGATTTGTTGTTTATTAAATAGGCAATTTTACATGCGAAGTTGTAATTACTAGTGTACGTGGATAGCAGTTTTGTTTCCCGGGGAGCGCCTGAGCAAGTTGTGAGGCCACGAGGGAAATGAAAAATAAACACGTGATCCGATCTGTGATCAGATTCGTGATCCGAACCGGTCCGATCCAAGTTTTGTCAACGCTGTTCGTTCTCCTATTAGGTTAAATAATGAAAAAGCCTATTCCTTAAATCTCACCATTTCCCCACCAGTTTCATTCCGGTAAGTTTCCCAGTTTGTTCCATCCAAGGAATAAGATAGTTTGAAAGCTGTGACCCATCTGCCTTTCAAATTCCATTCTTTGTCCCCTTGGGTAGCAAGACCACATGCTTGAATTATTATTCCGATGTCAACCTGGAGCCATTCGTTGTTACTGTTAGGCAGACTAGAACACCAACCATTACCGTACTTAGCGTTTAGTCGACCGTAAAACGCTTGGCTATAACCATTGCTTTCAGAACGCGCTTTTATCTGATTATTGGAGATGACACTGGGATCAGCAACACCGACAGGATTACTGAAGCAATCTGTAAATTGATTGCATGTAAAGAGTTTCAAAACCTACAATAAGTACATTAGGTGACGTTCACGTGCAGTGACAGCTGTTTTTTGCATCACTGATGGAAACTGTTAAAAAGACTAAGTGTAGCGCCTCAGTTATCGACAAAGAGTTCTATCAGGTGGCATACATCATGCGACAACAACAATAAAAACTTCTGTAGGCGCCATGATTACAAGTTAATACGTAATTGTCTTTTGTCTTTGTTCGTGACTTTCGTTTTTGCTTGTCTTCGTCGCTTTTGTTACCTTTGTTAATTAGTCTTTTAGCATAAGCCAAGTTTTCTTTTCGATGCGATGAACTATCGGTAGCAGAGTGTTAGAGTGCCTTCCGAAGGAATTCCATATTAGTTTATTTTTGGTGTTCCGTCCGACCAAACTTGGTATCAGAGCGAGGTTCTTGTTTGAATGCCGGAACCATGGAGATGAGCGAATCCAGAGAAAGTGCCGGCGTGGACAGCTTGAAAGAATCCGATGCAAATGAGGCTCTGCTGGATAATGATGTTATTTCCTTTTTGGCTCGAAGATCGCCGTCTAAAGTTTTTCACAGGATAAGAGTGGTTCTAGTGAGTGCGAGTTTCCGCATTATAGGAAAGCAAGATTCCCATACCTTCTTCTCAGCCTGGTCGGTCTCTGAGTTTATCTGTATAAGGTCTATTGTAAAATCGTCATTGCGTAATGGTCTCGACATATTACGAAATAACAAATTTAAGTCTTTTTAGTTGACCATTATATTTTTAAAAAATAGAAACGTTATAGTGCTTGTCTGAAAGTCATTTTTTGCATCGCGTTCAATTTCACAATATTCATGTATAAATACTACAGCAATACACGAAATAAATAAAGTGAATAAAGGTCACTCAATTTTTATTTTACTGTCTTCTTCATGATCCGAGTCCAAAAGATGTAATGTCGAATGTTTCCTCGACATCAGAACTGGTACATTCAAAAGGATTTGTGTCTGGTTCATTCGAAGCATTGATCGTCCACTGCTACAACGCTGTCTTTCCTTGAGGCAATCAATCATTTCGGCACAATTACCCGTTCGATTTTTTGGACCGCAATGTGTAAGTAATGCTATCTTCGATGTGGCACTCGAAGGAGTCTCAGGCTAATAGCTGTATATATAGTCTGTATATCATTGCCTTAGTAGTCATTGATCTGCTGTGCTTTTTGAGTTTATTATTTGAATAAACGTGGAGAGTGAAGAATTAGTTCTTATGAGGCATAGCGCTTCACCTTTGATGAATCCTATATTTGCGCCTGGTGGATGACACGACTACCCCAAGTTCGTGTATTAGAGGTCTCCGTCTCTTTGTACTGTGTTAGCACATCAAGGGTCGATTCCCTGTGAAATAACTCGCGTCTAGGAATGTAACTCTGACTTTGATGTTATTCATACAGCCGTTGGCTGTGAGTGTGACAACCACCAGTTGTGTATTTTGCAAAATTTTGAAAAACCAAGGTGGTTTTAATTACAGATTTATGGGCAAAGTTTGAAATAGATAAATTTTTCGAACCGAAGTGCACCAGACCGCTTTTAGAGAGACTGCGCCCTAAACAGTACATGTATTTCCTTTATCATCTTTAAAATTGTTCCACAAAACGTTTTTCTCACCTGGTGACCCTCCCGAAGTGTCAGGATATTTACAACTCTACGAGAAAATGTTACAAATTAAAAAGTTGGAACATCAATAAAGGAAAACGCTGTTCATGTATTTAACCATGCTATATAATGGTCCGGTATTATCGTGTTAAGGATAATTTTGTTCGGAACATTCTACCACGTAGGTTAGATATCGTGAATAAAAATGCTCACCAGATATATCAGGACTTTTAAAAGACAAAGACGTAATCCCATGGTATATTATATTCTTCTTTGTGAAGAAAGTCTGAAGAAAGAAGAAACTTTGTAATTACCTACGGGCCTGAATTTTTTTCAGGTCTTATTTTCAACTACTCGTTTCAGTAGTGTTCTTAGCTGCGAGGATCTCTTAATTTCGTTTCTTCACCACAGTGCAAATATATGAATTTCATATATCTAAAATCGTCATTCATAACTGTAATTCTTAAGTCAGGACGAAGTCACTCCAGACACCCACCTCATTTTGTTTGTTGGCTGCATTTTCTAGAATAGATTTTTTTTAACCGTGTTTTTGAACTTAACAAGTGTAAAAATTAGTAGCTTGCATTAAACACCAACAATTCAAATTTACTCCTCATTATTTCTATTATTTGGTGCCCGAAGGTCCTTATAATAATTAAAATAATCAAGGACATATTGAAAACCTTCTATTGAAAGTTATAGCTTACTTAGTAATTTCTTGTTCTTATGGTCATGATTAATACATATCATTGCATAGCTTTTGCTTCACCTCAACATTCGTGAAGGTAAACCAATACAAAACAATAAATAGCTGCAACACTGCCGTCACCTTTCTAATTTGCAAATACAATTTACGTCGAGTCACGTTATGACGTTTTGGCGAAAAATCCTTCATGCTGCACGAGGCGAATTGTCTCAGTGAATTTTTCTTGCAATACATCCCTAAAGCTTTGGTCTTTTAAAAGCTTGAAGCTCAGTAGATTCTGTCATATCGGTCATTGTTAAAACTGTCTTTGTTTTGATGCTACTTTTCGACATAGGAAAAGTATGTCGGACAAAAATATTCACCAAAAAATAAATATCTCTTTGCCAGCTTCAATAACGACAGGGGATTAAGTTTAGATGATAAAACAAAGGATTATGTTAACAGAAATACCGTAAGTCTAGTACATTCGTCACATGAGGTCACACAACTCGGGCAATATTCACGGTGAACATTTGCATATTTGAGCGGCCGAGCGATAAAGGGCATTTCTCGAAAATTAAAATATATCTTCACAAAAAAAACTACTAGAACAAATTGGGCTACAAAATATGAAAGTAGGAGAGAAAACGAATTTTGGGCGACTTGCCACAATATTTCAAATTTGTTCTATGGATGCTGACTTCCTCTCTTAAGAGTAAGTCTAATCCCCTGGTGGCCATAAGGCCTTCATTCATCGTGGGATTAAAGTTCTTTATCTCAAAAGCTTCAAAAAAATTCAGCTGCGAACAATTGTAATTACCATCTATAATTCACAATTAATGTAAACTGCATAACAAATTATGAAACATCTAATATTTTCAAATTAAGAAGGAAAAAAAACGAGGATAGGAATGGACATAAATTGATTATGACCTTTACAAGCCATGACTTCATTTTCTAAACACATACTTTAGGAGAAAGCTTTGGATACACCGTATCTCTTTATCAAATCGAGATTGACGCTTAAAAAGGTTTATCTAGATTGTTTAACCGTCCAAGCCTGAGTGGTAAAGGCATTTAATACAGTAAACTGCCACCTGAGACTAAGCCCCTTACATGTCGCTCTGCTTTCTCTCTCTCAGATGAGAAAGAGCTTCTTCTAAATTGCGTCTTTTAACGCAAGGAAAAGTACGAGTAAGAGCTTTGTAGAATTCGTCATATCGTAAACAATACACCCACGGGTTAATTCCTGACGAAGTAAAAGCAAGAGCTTCCACTGATAACCACACTGTGTAGTATAACAACTGTCTGGTCAGGCCACAGTGATGCGGGGTAAAATAATTCACCAAAGATGTGATTAGACTTGGTAACCAGCAGACAACAAAGAGTCCCACCACAATGCCAATTGTCAAAGCCGCCTTTGAGTTTCTCCTTCCTCTTCTCAGAGCCTCTTGACTCTGCACTGTGTAGTTATTTCTAATTTTTTTCGACTGTTCTGCGGCTGCTTTCAATATTCTGACAGAACAAAATATGATGATCATCATGGGAATTAGAACTGTGATGATTGTAAATGATAACCACAGTGACACTGAACCATCCTTGACAAAGAACCTGGAGCACGGGAGAATGAAAGAAATGAACCAAATAGTGACAATGAGTATGTAACATCTCCTTTTGGTGAGAATATCTTGGTAGCGGAGAGGATAGAGGATCGCCAGATACCTGTCCATAGTAACACAGCATAAGTTGAACGTGGTGGCCACTGTTGTGTGGATCCAGAGATAATCGATAACTTCACCATACGTCTGCACGTGACTATTTGCATCATATCCCACACATCTGGTGAAAATCCAGACTGGATCTATTACAAGTCCTACTACAAAGTCTGCGGCTGCCAAAGAAGCGAGGAACAAGTTGGAAATTGTTCTGAGAGACTCGTTTCGAGCGACCAACCACAACACAATCGCGTTACCAATAATGGCCGCTAAACCTGCAAGGCCATACCATGATGACAAAATTATCTTGGCTGCCAAGTTCAGCTCTTTAAACTCACTTTTGCATGAGTTGTCCATTTTTTTCTCTTCCCTTTTTCACCGTGGCCGTTCTGCAAAATCCGCCGACAAGATCACGAAGCAGCATTGAGTTTTCGACAACGAATGAATTAACGATATCGAATCCTTTTTTTAAATGTTATCGCCCAATTAATAAATATTCATCAAAGCTGTCAAAATCCAAAGAAATTTTATAGATTAACTGGGCAATTTTTATCGCATGGATTTTCGCGAATGACTTTTTTTCTTTTTGTAGTAATAATAATGAATATGTCCATCCCCTTATAGAACTACTCTAGTTCATCTCGGTTTCACTATTTTGCTCGTCACAAGATGGTAATTTTTTGTTTTAATATTTGTAATTAAAATGCCACTCGTAATCAGTCGCCTTAACTCGTTATCTCATAACGCAGTTTGTAAAAGCTCGTAGGAACCGAGATGGATTCCATGTTTATTGAATGTGAGGTGTTGAAGGCTTTCATTATTGAAACTTTTTCACTTTTAAAATAAGATTGCAAATTTTTAGGCGGTGTGCAGGTGTTATAGCTTTATATTTACACAGCACTATATGGTGCCCACTACAAACAATATTTTATTTTGGTCACGTTTCATTGCGCTCGAAACCTTAAAAAAAATTTAGTAGACGTTTTAATAGCGCGTATTCGTGACTGTTTCCGTCAATATTTAAGTGCTACATGACCATGAAACTCCTCTATTGACACTTCAATTGCGTGCAAGTTATCACTACCTGATAATTTGCATATTCTGTTTTAACGAACATGTCAAGAAGCGTAAGTATTCCCTTTCGATCAGTAGTTTTCTGATTGGAGGAAAAAAATCGGTCCTCTAACTGATACAGTGTATAAAAAAAAACCAGAAAATTCTGTACAAGTGCGATATCAAGGACACTTCTCACGGCAGCGTGCACCTTCACACGAACTGGCGTTAATGACTGTTAGGATTTAATCTCAGATCAGGAAGTTGGTGGAAATGTTCAATCAGAATTACACGCGGTCTTTCTCTCAGAAAAAATGGTTGTAATACTTAGAATGACTTTTCATTAAGTTTTGCAGTAAAATACAACACATTTTAAATCCCAATTTTGTTTTCATCAAGCAATTTGCAATGCAATGATAAAACAGTCAGACGAAGCTGTAATTTATCTTGAATGTCAAGGCTTTGTTTGTTGGGGCCTTGTTGAGCAACATGAGGCTAACGTTTGGTACTAGTTCAATTCTCAGGTTGTGCTTGGACACGCTAGAAACTCAATCTTTAAGTATCGTGGCTTAATTTTAAAAGAAAAGCAAAGAGCGAAAGTACAAGCGCTGATACTTTATCGTTTGGCATAATAACGATTTCAATGGCTAGAGGGCTAGATGGCTAGATAGCTCACAATGAAAATTCCGATGGGGCGATGCGGTCCGCCTTTAAATCAATAAACATGCTTTTAACTGTATAGGCAAACGTGTTTTTCGAAAATTAGATTTAAGACCAGGAATTCGCCTTCAAACGCAGCTCTGGTCAAAAAAAATACGTACTGAACTGCCACCTATGTTCAATGTTTTTGAACGATCGGGGTTTATACTCGGAAGGGGGAAAGATTGATTGCAAAAACAAAAGAAAACAAAAAAGTTTTAAGAGTGAACAATTAGATCTTAATGTTTTTGATGGTGTTATTGTATCATAATCATTCATAAAGTTTGGTTTCACTGCAGCTTTATTTTTTACAATTGTATATGAAAATTACTTTACTTTTATTACTAATTTTACTTACAAATAAATTATTTGTCACTTTATCTTAAAAATATATATGTATACATAAAACACTATAATATCAAAGATTAATTGCTTGTTATTAAGAGTGAAGGAAAACGCATTTTCTCTAAGAGTAGATATACCATAAAACGTAGAGTTTTGATTAGTGTTTCAGCGGTTTAGTGTTGAAGATGTTTAAAGCGACGGCTTCCTGGTGTACTGCTCAATGTTTAGACGGCGAGCTGAATTAACAACCAGTGTCACTAAAAAATGCTCGAATATCAGTGGTTATGAAAAACCCTTATTCGTGGCTGAAATAGCTGTTTTAAGCCCAAACTGTCCGATTTCACCTGTTCTAGTACAAACTCCTGTAATCAGCCAGGCCAAATCAGACGGCTAAGCAACAAATTAATTTTAAGCACTTAAAGCCACCAGCCGATGAAACTCAACTAGCTAGCAAGTGCTAGCCAATCAAAATAAAGTATTACTATATTTTTTTTAACAGTATTTTTGCTTTAGAAAGTTGAGCTTTAGCCGATTAGTATATCTGTAAGCAGTATTTGTACTCTGACATTAAAATTTTCAGTGCTTAGTATCTTGAATAAGTTTTGCGTTTACACAATCAATAATGCTAATATGACCAAGTGGAGTCCAATTCGGTCTGTAATCAAAGGAGTGGTTAACAAAATCGGAGTGCGAGTTGTCAGTCACGAGTATGATTACAGACGGAATTAGACGACACGAAGTCCTGTTACCAATTAATCATAACCGTTACAATTTCCTAAAAAAAACAAATACATTTAGAACAAACATATGCGGTAGAGACATTGTCTCAAATAAAAGATTTCTTCATTTTGGAAATTCCCCAGTTCTTTCTTTTTTTTTTTTTGCAGGATAAGTAGTTATCACTATGGTTATTGCGATCAATACTGTGATTGGTGGATTTAGCTGAGTGGACTGAGTAAAATTGACTGCTTCAGCCGTCTGATTGTAGGCGTCCGACCACAAGCAACCGTCCAATTACACAGTCTGATTACAACTGTGCAGAATGATTAGTTGAGAATAAAGCAGCCAATGCACCAATCACAGTTGAGGAAATTGTAACGGTTATTGTACGTGTCATACAATACGGGGGTAATCAGCCTCTTGCTATCACCCACCCGATTAAATATGTCGTGGTTTAATATTTTTCCTAATGGTTAAAATGAATTCGAGGACCTTTTCTTTCTTTCTCTTTCTTTCTTTAACAGAAGGCATTATGCTCTTTGCTGTTGTAACTGAGTACACGAAGCTTGTGGGCGCAGTGTAGCTTCATAAGGATGCGGCACACATCGCAAAGGCTATTTAAATTCGTGTTCAGTCAACGGGGCTGCTTCACAAAGATCTGGGAGAGGTTTCGTAAAACCATCCTTTCCATTCAGAAAATGGGTTGTTATCGTTCCCTTGCCCTGTAAGGAAGAAAGTTTTGAAGAAACGTGATTTTCTACCATGACAAAACTCATATCGGCAACATGAACAACAAATCAAAGGTCATGGCTGTATTGTAAGGGGACATGTAGTGTGTAAGCCTAGATGTGCTAACACGGAAATATATATTTTCCATTTACATTGGTTTTGCATGTTTTCTAGTCTTTCATTCTACAAAATTTTCCAACGCTTTATACGCGCCTACGGCAAAATCAGTTTGATGTGCTCCTTTGGAAAGTTAACTGACTTTTATCAAAATTTCCTATTCTTTTGATTTAGTCAATTATTTTTGTAATCTCATACCTAAAAGAACATATTATTTTATACAATTTAGATTTTACTCTTCAGTCTAACTTTTTTTAAAATTTTACACATCATTATGTTTGTTGTCATTTTTAATACTATTTTGGCATGACTAGTTCGAGAACGACAAGTTATTGCTTAGCTTCATGACATGACCGCTTATAAATCAAGTCACTTACGTTTGACTCAGTTACTTACCTTAATGGAGACAGGTCCTCTTTCTTCAAGGTGAAAGCCTCCAAGTTGATCTAAGGCTACTTTACATTCTGGGCTCAAGTGGATTCTTAAGGCTGAAGTGTCAATTATGTTTGAACTATATCAGGATTTTTTCCGCCAGATTTTATTTTTTTTCGTCGCTGGCCTTTGGCGAACTGATTTGCTCAAGATCGTTTTGTTTTTGAGTTCAAATAGCCCGTCTGTACTAGTTGAAGCTGACTAAGAAGTTCTTTTTTGATAACATTTTTTTAAGCTAGCTATTATTGGTTTTATCATCTTTATCACCCCTATTATCATCATCATTATCATTGTTGATATTATTTTTTATCGTCATTATTACAACTACTATTGTTATGATTATTATTATTATTATTATCATCTTTGTTATCATTCCAGCTGTTATTCGCTGTTATTCCATTAAAGCATACAGTACGTTCCGTAGACAAAAGACGTTTGGACAATATGGGTAATTAACATATTTTAATACTGCTATAGATAAGTTTTTATACATACAGTTATTGTAATCAGAATTTTGATAGTTGCGATTATAGAAATAATATTATCCTTACAATTGATCAATTCCTATCTATTTAAGAAAAGATATATTTTAGAAAGAGAATTTTAAAAAATCCGAACCATAGCATCATGATCAACAAAAAAAACAACTCACCAAGTCCACTAGACTCCATTCTTGACGCGTAGTTCACAGTGTCTCCAAACAAACAGTAGCGAGGCATTTTGAGCCCTACGACTCCAGCTACACACGGACCTTTAAGCAGACAGAAAATATATTGTGATACATTTTTTTTGTTACATCTGTATCCTCTTTCCCTTTGGCGTTGCTTGGTACATAAATTGTAATTGTGAACAGTAGAGAGGCTTCAATCTTCGAGTTTTCTACTTGTACGTACTTTTTTATTCTGTGGAATACACTTTTTTGAACCACAACTTCTGAAGAAATTAGCATTTTCCAATACAGGCTATAAGAACATTATCCGGCAAAACAAGCATAGTAAAAAAAAAGTAAACGAATTTAATCCTATTAATTAACGAACCTCAGATCTAGAGACTCTTTTGGCTGATACACGCACAACCGACGCGCCACCAGAAAGCTAAGCTGATAGAGACCGGCATTTCATAACCACACTCGCAGGGTGACGCTGTTTTCTCAGCAAAATTCCAGAACAAGTGCAGATCACACGAACTTTATCATCTCCTCATACATACACTCGTAACTTTGGCGAGATTCCATAGTAACCCCATGCTTCATTCTCTTACGGTTAATGTATAAAATAAAGATCCCGCTTTTTTGAAGCGTACTGTACGCTGTGTTTTCCGAGCCGAGCTCTAAGCTTTCTCTAGCATTTTAACGAATACCTCAGCCTCATATTCTACGTAGATACTGACCTGTATGAATCCCAATTCGTAACTGAAGCCTTTTATTTGGCATGTGTTGTATGGTAAAGTCTCTGGTTGAGCTGAGCAGGTTTAGCGCCATCGTGGCGATCTCACCGGCATGTTTGTTGTCGTTTCTGACCGGCAAACCTGATACCACCATATACGCATCACCAATTGTCTCAACCTATTGTTTTACAACAAAGATTTGTCTCACACCTTAACAGTTAAAGAAACAGAAGGAAAGGTAGGTACATCTCTCCTTAACATGCTGTCCAAAAGCAGCAGGATTAATTGCAGAGGGTGTAACTTGTACTCTAGATGACTTATTGAACAGATTGATTTGTCAAGGGGCAGGCTTGAAGCAATTACACGTACTGCCTGTTGCAGGTCAAATATAAAAGAGAGCTCACCTTATAAACATCATGAGAGTCAATAACATTATCGAAACAGGTGTACAGGTCATTCAGAAAATGTACTACCTGCGAAAAACAACCATATAGCAATGAAAGAACAATTTTCACCATTATTTAGGTGTAACATCAAGAATTCGATACGATCTTTATCAAATTTACCACTCCTCTACTTCGGCGTAGTACTGAAAAAAACTGGCACTCTCAGACAACAGGTTGAAAAAAGCGTCCATTACCTGTAATGGTGTACATTGAGCAGCTATTGATGTAAAGCCCACAATATCGCTGAAATAAATGGTCACTGAGGAGAAGCTTTCTGCTGTCACTGATCTTCCCAGCTTAAGATCTTCTGCGATCGGTCTAGAAAATGAGAAGCAATTGTAAAAAAAAATCATTCAAATGAACAGGAACGAGCTCTAGGGCCATAGGCTTGGTGGACTGCGTTGACCTGTTCACAGGGTGCTCTTACATTTATTCTCGTGGATCGTGAGACATCTCAGTCCTACCTTTTCATTTTGGAGCAAGTTGTCAAACAATGAGCACAGGCTGTATCCAATGCTAAATACTCAACTCGGGGGGGGGGGGGATAAATAACTTATGGGTCATTACGTTGGTTGACAAGCGGCCTAAAAACCGTCGGGGAGCGAAGTTTTAAATTCTTATGCCACATTCACCGCAGCATTTCATGTTTAGTTAAGCCAGATTTAATTGAACGAGAATTTACGATACAAAACTGAAAAATTTAATTTTACGTAGTGTTTAAGTAAAAGCTGACTTGTATTTTCATTGTTCTAGTTATTCCGGCTGTTATTCGCTGTAACACTTAAAATATATAATATCGGGTAATATTGCCTATCTATTCCATTAAAGCATACATTACCTTCCGTGAACCGTGAAAAGACGTTTGGACAATATGGGTAACATATTTTAATACTGCTATAGATAAGTTTTACACATACAGTTGTTGTAATCAAAATTTTGATAGTTACGATTATAGAAATGATATGATCCTTACAATTTATTTCAAAGCTTTAAAAGCTGTTTTGTTAAACACGGTTTATGTTTGTTTTCTATATAGAAGTTGTTTAAACTGATGTTTGACGACTCAATAACTAGTACAATGAAAATACAGAGAATTAAAAAACTGAATTTTTCACAGGTTTCAGGTAGCCACTGACTCAATGTGCTACATTTTAAGTCGACAAACATCAGTTGAAGCAGTTTCTATTCAGAAAAAAATTTCCAAACGTGCTAATATTGAAACAGCTTTAAAACATGTTTAAGCTCTGGTGAGAATGGAGTATGAGCAAAGCGTTCTTACACTTACTTAGGAAGCATTTTGTAAAGAAGCTCGTCCGTTTTAGCTTTTTCTTCTGCTAGTTGCATCGTTCTCTCGTCTACGAGATTTTCCAGCTGGTTTGTGTAGTCCTCCATCATACGTATCATATTGTCTACAATGTTAGCATTCCTGAAAAATGGGAAAAAATCGTTTTCACTGAGGCTATGATCTCTCATATTATCTCGTTTGATTGACGTAATATTTCTTTTGTTATCTCCTGTTTCATTGACAAGCGCTGTTAGCAAAAAGGATTCAGTACCCAAAGATTTGTTTGGAAATAATTTCATGGCGACGAAATAAACTTCCACGATGAGCTTAAACCCTTTTATGTGTTTGAATGATCAAAGTAACTAATCCAGTGTTGCATTTCACATGCGTGCATATTCGTTATGCTCAAGAAAGTTGTTCTGCGCGGATATATGTGCACTGTGATTTCGTGTCCTTCCTTGGCTGAAAATGGTCATGTCAACAACGAAAACTGGTGTGAATCTAAAGCCCTTTCAAGTTTTATCCTACCATCAGCTGATTTCTCAGTCTGACAACTTAAAACGTCAGAATTAACATGATAAAATCTTACTTTCCGCAATTGAGAGACTTTAACTTTGACTTTATTTCCGAAAATGCTGGCCTCATTGAAGGATCGTTATCCCAACATGTTTCCATCAAATGGATGATGCCTTCGTTGTCTCTGATTTCACTCGGTAGGTCAGGCCGGAGAGGAGGAACAAGACATTTCCTCACTTGGTCGATGATATCTTAAGAAAAAACAAAGAGTAAATAATATTTAAAAGATAATTACAATTAACAAACAACTGCAAACTTTTACGGTTTCTTTATTGAAATACTTTTAATTTAAAATCCGTTAGCCAGTGAAATGCGATAATCCCTAGAACATCTATTTTCTTAGTGCCCTTCTTGCTACTAGATCTGTTTTTGATCTCTTTTGAACATGGCAACCAATTTTGACAACAGTTACTTTAATTTACTGACTCCTTTGTTTTCTCTCAGTTTCTACGACCTCCTCTGATGTATTCTTTCAATAGAAAATTTTAAAAAGACTAAGAAAGTCAATTAGACTCCGTTGTGTTTCCATAGAACTGCATTGATATACATCCTCCTCCCAAATTCGGTTTTTGGCTACAGGGTCGACTTCACGAAGGAAATTATTTTTAAGATGTTTAGATTGCGCAGCCAGGGTGAAGTCCTGCTGCAGGTTCTTTCAGTCACCTTTGGGATCCACGCAGTGTGAAGAATATGGTTCCTCTCTACTGAGAAGTTCACTGAGGATAATTCCATAACTGTATGTGTCACCCGCTTGTGAACAACGTGGAATGGCATCTTCGCAAAGGTGCTCCGGCGCGGTCCAGAACAATTCTGAAGCAAATATGAAAAAGTGATTGTCACTCTTCATACTTAGAATAATATCTCAATTTAAAAAGCTCTTAGACTAATGTAAGAAAAAGTGGCAAAAGTTGATTAAGCTTACTCCTGTACTTAGCATGTTCGCTGATTTCATGTGCTCTTTGGCCAATCTTTAACAAGCCAAGCCCATAGTCAGATACTTTACAAACCCAACGACTGTCAATCAAGCATTTGGATGACCTAAGATGACCATGTACGTGTACAGGGGAGGCGTGTAGAACCCACAACCCCTGTGAAAAAATGTTTAAATTATATAAATGAGACGAGCTGAGTTTTCGAGCGTCTTCGATTTATTAATTTCAACAACTAATATTTGCAGCCAGATAAAATTCAATTACCGAAAATAGCCAGCGCTAACTTATAGAAAATTTAGTCAATGGGCCAAAGTCAAAGATGAGTTCGGTCTGGACTTAGAGGGTGGCATTTGCGACGCATTGTTATCTAATGTTTGACGAAAGATGATGCCGATTAATATAGATCAAAATTAAGTACTTGTATAAATCCCTATGAAAAAAGGGGGTGAGTTTCTAAAGAAACTGTGGTGCTGCGTCGGTGGAAGAGTATAGCAGGTAATTTAGTGTTAACAACTAAGTTGAAAATGTAAATTGGCCACCGAAAAGAGTAAAAAACCTGAGGTTTCGAGCGTTAGCCCTTCGTCAGGGCGATTGTGGCTTGATTGAAAAGGTAAAGAGCACTGACAATATATATTTGGCTAAAGTAACTGTTTTTAAATGTTTTAAACTGAGACATTTTAAACGAATGTTTACTTTTAAATTCAGACATCACAAGTTAAATGAATGCAGTTACCATGGCAATGTCCTGAGCAAAAGACGCTCGGAAGAACCAGTCGAGTTTTATGTTTTGGTTGGCCAAAATTTCCTGGAAAATAAAAAAAAAAACAGAAATCAGTCAAAACTGAGAAGAAACATCAATTGCATGGACGGTTGACAGCGAGAAAAGGCAGAAAAAATGAACTGCTTCTGTTTCAAACAAATTATTAAATTGATGGAAAGTGAAAATAATTGACCGACTAATTGTTCAACGAATTTTGCGACGTAAAGTTTGGTTGCCCGTTAAGTGCAAAATTTATTAATTTACCTTGTTCGTGGCTATGGGGATTTTAAGTACCAGAATTGAAATGTGGTTCTCCCCTTCACCGTTATGAGATCGTTTATGTTAAATTTTCCTCGTAATTATATTGTCTAACTGATGCCTCACCTCTAAGCTGCCACGGTAGCAGTAATGGGAAATGATGCTGACATTTGGGGATGCGATGCACACTCCGATATAAGGATTGAGATTTGTGTGGACAATATCTCGTACCTGACAATTAGGAAACACCACGGAACGGATAATTTTACCCTTTTTTTCTGCACAGACGATATACTAACACACCTAAAAATGTGTTTAAATGATATTTATGATTCATTTCATTAAAAATGATAAATATTTATACCAGTTTGGACCTCTGTTGGATATTGGCTAGCCTCATAAATAATTTTTCTTTTGGTGGAACATCAATTTAACCCACAGTCTCCCCAAATGAATTAAGGGGGTTAGGCTTTAAAGAGACTGTGGTGCTGCCTCGTTGTGGGGTGATATAAGAATATTTGGTTGTATCAACTGATATGATGATATAAATTGGCCACCAAAGAGACATTCTAAAGCTGAAGCTTCGAGCGTTTGCCTTTTGTCAGAGCGGAAAAGGTCTAATGCTCAAAAAAATGGCTATAGAATCTCTTTTCGGTGGCCAATACCCATTATCAACTCAGTTGACTTAACTGCTCGTTGTGTTTAGCGTAGAAACGGAGAAAACCAGTTCAACCAGCAATACCTGTATTTGTCAAGCGAGCTAAACTTCCACTCAACCGTAAACTTATCAAAAGAAGCCAAACTCACCCGAGTCATAGGTCCACGACGGGAGGTTTGGTTTCAATGTTTAACGGATAATTAAAACTCTCTTTAGTTGAAAGGGTCGTCGGAGTGGAAGTGCCAATCGAAAGGATATCTGACATTTATGGCACGGTTATTGCAATTAGCGCATCAAGCCTGAATGTCACCTACTCACTTTTTTCATCTCTATCAAAATGTCACGTGTCAGGTGTACGGAGTCCCTATGAAGCCTTTTAATGGCCACCAATTCTCCCTGAGGACGCAAACCAAAGGAAAATCGTAAAAAAATATTTAAAGATATTATCTTCGATTAATGACACTCTGAACGGTAACCTTCTAGTTCCCTCGAGCAAAGTACCGTTGAGTACCGTAGGTATGTAGTGGCAACTGAATGACATCCACATATCCGACAATGAGAAAATTACGCTTGTTGATCCATAGCAACGTATACATCAATTAACCTGGCCGTAACTTCGGAAAAACGATTGAAAGACTTAATATCTTTTGTCCACTACAGACGCCTTTTTGACAAACTTAAACAGAAAATATCGACGATTACCGCCCAACGCTAGCATTGACATCACTGCATCCCAACTACATGTATTTTTGCAACGAAATACAGAGTTTACTGCCAAATTCCGGCAAGTATGCAAGGGAAAACTGTTTAGCGCAAAATATATTTAGTTCCTCTGTTTAAGAATGGTCGGTGATTAACCTCTTTACTTAGGTTTTAGGCTGGGCGGAAAACCACATCACTTCTCAAGGTTTTCAAAACTTCCACCAGTTTTGTATAGTGTTGTTATGGTTTCACAGGTAAGCCGGTCTGACAGGCGCAGACGTTTTTCAGCTCTGTTGCGTGTGCTCGGTATAATTTCCAATTACCTTACTAGAAAGAGAATCTAAAACAACGTTACTTTATAACACCTGAAACAGTAAACAGTAGCATAGAAACGACAAAAATGCATTTGAGACCTTAAAATTTGGTAGTTCACCATTTACCTTGTATCGACCCACATTTGAAAGAAACGGTTTTCCATCACCCACCCATTCAGTTTGCACAGATTGACGAGAGTTCAGACTTTTGATAACCTGCACCAGAGAGAGAGCGAAATAGGTTTTGTCACCATTTAAAGTTACTAGGTCAAAGATTAAATTACCGCACATGCATTTGGGAACACTATTCACTCAGTATACTCAAGTGACGGTACAGCTAAGGTAACTCACACTTTATAGCACATAAATTTCGGTTAAGTCAAAAGTTATAGCATTCTGACATGATGGCAGCGACCAAGGTTATTTCCGATAAAAGTGTCTGGTGTAAATAAAGAAAAATTACGTTAAAACTACTTTGCCTTTACTTTGTGAAAATTGTGAAGTTCTTTTGGTTTCAGTAAGAGCGCTATTCGATTGAATGTTGTGGCACCAAACCCCAAGTTTTCATAACGACCAGTCGGAAGAGAGAAAAGTACCCTTAGGAACCAATGAGCACGAGGGCTCAAACTAAAACAAGCAAACTGTCCAAAGAGCGGGAAAACGGAGGTGACTTGGTTTTAGCCTGACTGGTGGAGAGAGTGGCTCGAGTTTTTTGGGCCAATCAAAGAGCGATGTAGAATAAAACCAATGCAACCTCGGATCACTTTTGACATTCAATTGAAAATGGCTCTAGTGCAAGTGCTGCCTGAGAACCAGAATTTTTTGGAAACAAAGCAATTTTTCTGCCGACCAAGGGCAACAAAGCGTGGAGAAAGCTTATCGTTTTTGAACTCAATCAAATACATTGTAAGGCTTAGACTGTCTACTGCCACTTTAGCCAAAATAATTCAGTAATTATGACGCCTTGTGATTGACTGCTCCATTATCTGCTCAGATCTCCCAGGGAAGTATAATTAAATTTGCAATGTTTAAAAGTATCTTTTGAAAAGTAACTCCTCACGTTCACCCGTCAGCAGAAATTAAAAATGTATTGCATCTGTCAAGAGCTTGAGTCATAAAACTTGGTTGAAGTTTCTAGACGATCATTTGATTTTTTTGCGATTCTTCATAGTCTAATTTCTTGTTTAAGTTGAAAGATTGAGCCAGAGGATAATAAAAGTTATGAGTTATTTTAAGCTAAAAATTTATTTGCTTGGAAATTAGATTTTAAAAGTATTTTAGCATCAGTAGTTTGTTTGTTTGTTTGCGTTTATTTGAAAACATCAGCTTTTGCTGTTCAGTTACTCATTTCTATAAGTCAAAGATTCATCTGTTCATGGTGTCTCTTACAAATAACCAAAATCATGATTGCCGTTTCTGATGATGATATTAGTGCACTTATGTCGGGTAAAAACGAAATGAAGGGAACTTTGGTGAAACTGACGTTACTAGCTGTTTGGAAATAACTTTTACTCTTGCAGTCATAGCTTTGCATTTTAGCCCGAATTAGCTAGAGAAAATTGATAGGGAAGATTGAGCTAAATTTTTACTGGAGTGGTGGAACTTGTCTTAGAAAAAAGCAAAATGTTAAGTGCAATCCTTCGCCAGAAGTCTTGCGGCGATAATTTAGCAAAATGCCCGCGCGAATAACACGCCGTCTTCGCCGTCATTTCCCTTTATTCTCCTATGTTGCAGATTTAAACTGACCGGGCTTGAATCAAATGGCTTGTATCTTAGAAATGGTTTGAAAGTTGTGTAATAAGAATTCATGTAGATCTTAAGAAAACATATACCTTGAACGCAGAGTTTTTGTACAGATTTCCGTATTAGCGTGCCATCAGGAACACTGATCATCCTACCGATTTTTATAGGCAAAGTAAGCCCGGTACTGATATTTCTCACGCAATTTAGTAGTGGTCAATGATGGATTTTTGCAAGATTCACTCAACTCGGAATCCTCTAACTTCGGGTCATTTTTTTACTCACTGTAAACTTAGAGCCAATGCTATTGTTGAGAGTCCTTGACAATCTCAGGTCTTTGTCTTGAATGTTGTCATCCACATCGAAGATCCACTGTAAACGTGTGCAAATTAAACGAGACATGCATGCGTTTTTAAACTACAAACTCGGTGGTTGAGAACACTTAGTTCTAGACGAATAGCTACTACTATATCATACATTCTGTTTTGATTTCTTAGATGAGCGTGTTAATCTCAATTACAATGTCAATCAAACTAAAGAAATCGTTTTTCTGAAACTGATTTTCAGTTCAGTTTCCTGTAGTTTTCGAATATCATATCATTAGCTAATATTCCACGCAGGTTTAGATGGAGAAGGGATAAGTGCAGTTGACTCGGTGGTGCAATTCACATAATCCAATTAGTTTCTTTTTTGATCTTTTTAATAACGAAAGCCAGAAAAGAAATTTGAATTAGCTGGAAAAGCCACAAACTCATCTCCTAATATGACTTTTTAAATGCATTAAGAATTCTTTTGGGCTCTAACAGCAAAGAACTGGTAATAATTTCATCATGTTTGTAAACTACTGTTGTGCGAATAGCAGTAACCTCTTCAGTATCTGATGACTGATTATCAAAGACCTTTTCTTAATGTCTGCTCAGCGATCAGTAACTTTCTCGTTGTTTCAAGATTATGCCATTATTGGGTCAAGTGCAGGAGTGCTGATCATAAACCTCAACACGAAAATCATTTATCTGAGTTCCTTCAGTGATGGAACACTCACTGAAGTAGCAGACATACAATTCATAGGCTCAAAACAATGGCAAATCCGATAGAGACCAATAATATCAAATGTAACATTTTGGACGTCACCCTCAAGTTAATCTCTATTCAACAGATCTTTTTTAAGATAATGGTCCACATTCAAAATGATGTTGAACACTAAAGACAACTTTAGTTGTGCGATTATTACAACATACTTCCTTACCTTACTTGCGAACCTGTTATCCACCGTACCTAGTGTGATTTGGCTAAAATCTATGATCCAAGCGTCATTTAAAAGGTCTTTCTCGTACATTTTACGCCTGGAATTCATAGAGAGAACATTGAGAAAGACTAAATCCGTCGCGTAAGTCTAAAAAGGTAATTCTTAGCAACCCGTACGCATAACTCTGGAATAAAATCACACCATCTCGGTGTTTTTTGAGTGTGTTTGTGAAGAAAATTTCAAGGGATGTTCACGTAAGCGACTGTACAGCGCAGAATTGGCTATCAGTAGATCCTCCTAGGATCTCCGCCAATAGAAGTGATTTGAAAAGTAAAAAAATTATTGGAGGGGAATATCGATTGATGGCGATCAGACATGTTGCAAATTTATTTATATGATAAGCTCAAATATGCACGCATTCTGATTGGTTTTCACTTATGATCTATTGGAGGACAGACGTATAGATGACGTCATCATTAAAACTTTTTTTAATTCTTTATTATATAAAACAAATAGATAAATAGATTGAGAACATCAGTGACACACTCGGCTGCGCCTCGTGTGCCACTTTTTTGTTCTTACCACATTTTGACGTCATCTGTGATCTATTACTGAACAGACGCACGGCAACTTGGAATCTATTTGTTAACCAGTCTGAATCACGCGTTTAAGCACATCATCTATTAGTAACTAATGCGAGGAAGAAGACGATTAAAAAAAGGATCTAATCTTCGATAGAAGAAGAAGAAAAAATATATATATATTAGCAGCTTGCAATCGTTGAAAAATCTCATCGACTGCCTCAATTATAAGACGGTGATGATGGAAGGCTTTGCTGAGATCCACGAAGACTTGGCAGAGCTGAAAGTTTAGGTTAAAAACGAATGTCCGTAGGGTGCAGTAAAGGAAAATTAAATAATTATCATACCTGTGAAAAAGGTAAGAAATAGGAACCAGAACAACGACAAAGGAGGAAACAACGATAACCACAATTAACCAGTCTTCCATATGCTCATCAGAATCTGCAATATACAATATAACCGTGACATCAAGTCTTGAGTAAGCATGGTACTCGTCCAGCCATGATGAAAAATGTCAACAATTTTTGGAATCTTATGCTGAACTATGAATTTATGGCTTCAAGCCTACTTCAAGTACACGTATAGCAAAAACCTTTGTAATTCTCCAAATCTATGGACACAATTGAAGAAAATTTGTTTCTTTAAATAGATTACCTTATTCTGTTTACGTTACTGTAACACTTGTGCCTGTTGTTTTCCGTTGTTATTTGTTTGTTTGTTTGCTCGGTTGTTTGGGTCCTTTTCCATACTGTCTTTTGGCACAGACGTGAAAGAGTTATCCAGAAATGCCCTTTATCGACCCTCACTACTTATTTACCAAAATTTACCTTTACACGAATCATCAAACACACACTCGGGTTCGTCATCAGGAATCTTAGTTGATCCCCCAGGCCACACGGGTCGTACGTTGAAACGCCTTATGACAGTTCCGTTTGAATCCAGCTCTAGCAATGCTGATCCACTGCTTTTGTGTATATTTTCAAACACAAAATGTGGCACACGATTTCCTTTCTCATCAATCTTCACAGGTCCAGACATGCCTGCCAATTCATAGAGACAACAAATAACTCCTGCGAATTTCTTGAATACGCACGATTAAACCCAGAAAAGTTTCTTTTCTTCACCCTTTCCCAAGTGAAGTGAAGAAAGGAAACTAAGTATTTAAGCTTTATACTGACCTAGATGACAAACATTATATATATGATTGTATCCATTGAGTACCCAGGAGGGAGAAGATATGAATAGGCAGTGCCATAGGATACCTCCATCAATAGATACCTCTCTCAAAAAAGGAGACAGACCTTCTACAGGTAACATGCTTACACACTCTCAAGCTCCCTTACAATGCATAAATGAAGTCTTTTTTTTCGGGGGGAAGGGGGGGATATGTTCTCAGAGGTCCCTTATGGACCCAGAAAGGAGACCCCTTTGTAAGGTATTTACTTTTGTGAATAACATCCGAGGTAGAGTTTAACTGAACATCCATATGAATCCAGTGAACAAATGTAAAATCTCATACGGCCTTGGAATTTTTATTATAGTTACTTTATATGTGTTATATTAAACAACTGTGACTCTCAGCCTCAACCTCTCATCATAACTGTTTGAAACATCGCCTATAAAATCAGCATTTGTGCGCAGAAAATGCTTGCAAATCCCGTTGAAGCTTTGTTGTTTACCTGTAAACAGCTGAGTTTTAGTGACCATGTTCTTGAACACTGTTGTGCCATTGGATATATTACCTCTTTGGCTAAGAGTGCGATTAAGAGCATGCGCATAGAGTAAAACTGCATCGTAGAGGTAAGGAGCAGTCTTCGCTGCCTAAAAAAAAGAAACATTGTTGGTTAAATGACTTCTTAGCTAATGAGAGAGCCACGAGACAAGTAAATGAAAGGAACAAGCTTTATCCTCACACAACATCTAGAAAATATATTTTATTTTTCGGGAAAGTAAACGGGGTTAATTGATAATCTTCTCAAAACTGTACTTCTATTTGTACACCGGTAGAAAATTTTTTCCTTTAGTTCATGTTTATTAGTAAAACTATCACGATCTGATTTATATTTTGAGTGAAAACGAAACAGCATTTCTATCTGGGAAGTATAAGCATTCATAGTAGTCAGGGTCATTCTGTCTTTTTTCAGTACTGCAATGAAACATTAAATTAATATGAGTTACCGTGTGACAAATTATTCTGCACTTTATGCCGAGCTTATTTATAATCGAGCGCCTCGCTAAAAGTGCATGAATCCTCTCCATTACAGTGCAAAGGTGTCAACATCAAGCAAAATCGCAAACTTATATCGTAGATATATAACTATTAATACGATTACCACTGCAGTGAGATTTTGAAAGACAGGCATGTCCTGAAGGCCTCTATTTAACCATTTTGTGATATTTTGTAGCTCCAAGCCATTGGGTTTTTTAACAGACAAAGTTATGAGCCCTTCAAATATCTCCAGCATCTTCTCCCAACTCAGCGACCACGTTTTCTTAGCCAAAGATGTTCTTAGAGATTCTGATATGTAGAAATCCAAAGTGACAAACGCGAAATCTCCCTCCAGCATTCCCAGCTCCTTAGCGATTAATAGCAGACGCGCAACCTCATTCCTATGGGCTAAAATGAATATAACTAAAAGGAAAAAAGGAAAAGGAATATTAAAGTGATGTGGATTGTACTCGCTTTTCAGCTTGATTTGTTGAGGAAATTTTTTCTAATGCTTTACGTCCAGACTTAAGGCTGAACGTTACATTTTTCTAGAAAGCAATTTTCAATGAGAAAATGTCCTTTGGTGGTACGTTATTTTCCGTCAATCTTTATTTTGAATACTATGAAGCAGTAACATTGATGGTACATCCTCACCAACAATATTTTGCTTTCTTTGACAATTTTTTCTGTTCTACAATAGCTTACCACGAGCGTGTTTCTGTGTTTCCTCAAGAAGCTTCTTTGCATCTCTATATTGCGTCTCTAAATCATCCATAACCTTATAAACATTATAATATGAAATTGTTAAGTTGCTACTTTTGAAATAATTCAAAACGTTGTTCGCAATTGGTGCCCAGATACTCGTGAGGCCGTCATCTTTAGCAAGGATTGCCGCCCTACGCCATTTAAACCTGCGCATGATCTGGTATAGAATTAAAGGTGTACTTTCTGAATACGTGCGGCTAAATGGCTGTGTTCTTGCAAAAGTGGAATATTTGTCCCTGTCCTGAAGGTCCAGTGATGAACACGAAAACGATATGATAGGTTTATTCCAATATTGTGCGAGGAGACCGGCAGAGAGGCAAGCTATCGAACACCCCGGGCCTATGTACGCATCCACAGATGCTGATGATTGCATAAGGTCAGCGGTTATCCCAACCGCTCTTACTGGGTCACACGCGCTGTTTTGGACTGTATACGTCAAATTGACACCAACAAGTAAATTCTCATCGTTGTTTACATCATCAAAAGCCGCTTTAATCACAGGCCTGATACCATCTCCCACTTGAAATGTTCCTGTTATTGGTACCAATACTGCCACACGAATTTCCTTACTAGCCGCACAAGATAACCACAATTGAACACAGGTCACGTACAAGGGGAACATCGTGACTTATCGAAGCGTGCAGCACTCGGAGATCAAGCAAAAGTCTGAAATACAACAGGTGCACTTATTACAATCTTGATGTACGCATAATTAAAATTTGAAGCATATCAGGTTCTTCGAGAAACTTGTTTGCCTAACTCGGACACAGTTATTCATCAAAAAATTTCCATGAAACTCAAATACAAGTGACAACAACATTGTGACAAAGAAAGTAAACTAACCGAGAAAAAAGACTCATTTCCGATTTCCTCGATTTAGAAACAGCTTAAATGTTATGAACAGTTGAAGTAAACACAGCGCTAATGGGATGTCAATCCAGTAAGAAGATTAAGACTGTTATGCCAATTGCACCATTTAATAACGGAGAGAGGATCTAAGGGAGACTAGGTGCAAAACTTTTTTCGATAACGCCAAATTTTGGCGTCATCAAATGAATAAAGAGGGTACGTCTCCGAAGAAACTGTAGTGCTACTTCGGAGCGAAGAGCGAAAGTCTAAAGACGACGACGCTCTAATGAAGGGCTACCTCGAATCGTCGGCTTCAGAAACTCTCTGCGGTGGTCAATTAACATCATCACCTCAGCATAGTAATACTCTAACAGGGCGACCTGCTCTATTTTAAAACGTGCTAAAAATAAAACGAATCTTTAACAACACATTCAATTTGTTATTTTCTTATTCTGAATGCATTACCTGGTGCATTATTCTGTCTAAATAAAAATTTAATCTAGAAATGAATAACTTATTTGAAGTCGAACGGTAATTAATTACGTATGGTATATATATGTAGGTTTCACACTGTCCAACCGTTTTTTTAATTTATTTTTGGCAGGAATTTTCAGTTCACGATGAGGACTTTGGAAATGAGCCAGTTTTTAACCCGAAATTATTTGCAGCCCGACAAATGTCAAAACACACTTGAGAAATGTTTACCTCATTGCCAATGTCTTCCATATCACTCTCATTTACAATATAAAACCGTGATAAACTCGTTATGTTTCGTTTGATTCCTAGGACCAAGAAAGGCATTTTAAATTTTAGTTTTTGTTCTTTAATTCCTTCCCAGCTATCGTTTTATTTTGAGTCGTTCGAATTATTGGGCTCGCAATTCTTTTAAGAAAGACCAATACAATAGTAGTATTTACTAATCGCTGCTATTCATCGAACAAAAATATTACTCAATTTATTACCCTACCTTGACCGCTGAGAAAGCTTCAGCGCTTCACGGTTTTTAATTCATCGATGCCACCGTGTAGCTTAACTCGATTAATAAGATAATCAACAGCGGAAACTCAAAGTTCAACCTTTAAAAAACTAACCCACGCTTTGACAGATAATCGGTTGGGTGCATAAGAGTTAGATTATAAGGGGCGGAGCCTGAAGCCATTTCCAAGAGCTAAAATAGTTTACATTTCAATATTTGTTTCGTCAGATAATTTTATCTTCTACTTTAGGTGAAGAAAGCTCCCGAAAAAGGTTTATAATTAAAATTCACAATCTATAAATGCTACGAGTTCTTTTTTTAAAGTATTTCTTTGCGAAAAGCGCCGTAAGAAAGCTTCTTGGTTTACTCGATTATATTCTTTCTTTATTTAAAAAGCGTGTTTCGCCCACAAAAGGCTTATTGAATATTGATTTGTGATACATAAATCCTCCTGATATATCCATAACAAGGCCGGAGTAAGTCAACTCGGTTACGAAGTTTCACAAATATTAAAATTTTCTGGCTTTCCTCTCCAGATACAAATGCAAAGAGATTTAGTTTGGGAAAAATATTCTTCTCGTTTGACATTAAACGGATGATCATGAGACAGCAGATTATTCAGCTGTTATTCAATTTTATTAAGCCCTTCCGTTTGCTTAATTGTAAAGTTTCCTATGTTTGTTGCTAAACTGAATGATTCGTACCTTAAATTGAAAATATAGATTAAATTGTTGCTCAAACCGTTGTTACGCGGATAAAAAGATAAAAGGTAGCGACTCGCTCGCGTTGGTTTTACCTGATATGCAATACTCTTCTGGGGGGTGGATTATATCAATAAATCTTAGCCTAAGTTATTCGATCAGGAGTGACTGACGCCAAATGACAGAAAATAAGTATTCTAATTATTGGTTCAAATAGTCTTTCGATGATTCCGTTCGCGTTGCCATAGTTTCCGTTGCCAGGAGATCGACTTGGTTATTAATGCAAATACGCCACGTTTCTAAGAAGAATCGTTGCGTTGTATTTGTAAAATTTCTGTTTGTTGGAACAAAGAAAAAGAACTGTTTTGGTAGTTCATTTTCTTTCTAAAATAAAAGTTACGTAAGGTTACCAGCCCCGAAGGTAGGAAGGTAGTTGATACGAAGATGATAAAGTGGTTCTGTGAAATCTCATGATAAGGGCTTTAAACTGACAAAGTAAGAATTGATTGGTCCTTACCATAAGAAATAAATGTAGCTGATTTTTTAATTTGTTTTGGTTGTTACTTTTCTTTCATTTCAAAACAAAACAAAAACCAAGCAAACAAAAAGGCAAACAAATCTTTAATATTAAAAAAAATAACGTTTTCGATTTTCAGCCGCCATTAAGGACAACAGTCCCCTCTCCAAAAATTTACAACATCTACATTTCAAAGTCCAGTCATTTTTTTCTAAAAACATCGGCCAACTGATAAGATATTTTTATCCAAAGTTATGTTGGGGGAACATATTTCGCCTTTTGATCTCCTCACTCAACCCGCTACATTTAAATAGCGTCTCATTTTTGATCTAGGTAAAACATTTTCATCTCAAATTTCGCCACACGAGCAAATGTTTACTCGTTTAGGGGAACGCATGGCGTTCGAAGTAGCAGTTGAGCCTTTCTTACAATAAGGTATAGTTTCTGTGTCAGTGATCGCTCTGAAAAGCAGTTGGAAACCTGCAGCGCTAGTCCCAGCTTATTGTATTCATCAAACGAAGGTGCACCATGGCACTGTTAACTAAAAAGTGGAACTCACCATGACAATAGTCAAATGTCACAGAAAATTGTTAATTTTGCAATTTTAATCACTGTTTGTAGTATCTTTTTCAATGAGAGAAGAGCATCCTCCAATTTTTGTCTGTGTTTGCAAACCATTCTATATGTAAATGAGTAGAGTGAACGAAATATATTTAGCAAGTTTTGGCTGTGGTTTGTTTCATATTCTAAATTGATATTTATGAAGTGTTTTGAACAGAAATATTTGATGATAATTTCGCCTCTGTAAAATCATGCTGTCCCCTAACTTGGTCTCTCCAACTTTAAACTTCAATAAATATTTCTTTCATGGAACTTATAACGGAACATCACAGTTACCGCAAATTTTCCTGCTATTGCATATATTTATTGAAAATATGGGTTAACTGAGGAAAAGGTTGCTCACGAAAAGACATTTCTCGACAAAAAAATCACTAAAAGATGTCGACTATGGATTGGAACTCGAGTGCGCCGTCTTATCTAATATATTTGAAAACCTAGGGTGTCTTTCAAAACCACAAACAAGGAAGCAAACAATGCAGATATAGAACTAGAGGAGAATTTCGTGTCAAATAATTTGGCAGCTCATCGATTTCTCCGTAGTAACTGAACAGAGCTGCCATGCTGCATGAATTAGTAACAGAGATATACCTTAATTACCGTATCATCTCAATCATACGCTATAATCAGTGATGAATCGATAGAGGAACAACTTTCTTGTGACATTGGATTGCGTTAGTACTCACAATTATGGTAAAACTCCACAGTTGAATTACAAGAAGCCAGACAGCTTGTGATAAGAAATTAAAGAACGTGGAATAACTATATAACGCCATGGATAATCACTTACATTGTTTATCCTAGTTAGCACTGAGTCAGGCACTATTTAAATGGATTGCCTTATTTTGGCTCATGGACTGTCTGCATTTATACAAAATGTTATGTAAACTTTTCGAAAGATGAGCAGAAAATTTACATACTATTAACGACCACGCAGCTGCGTGAACGCATCGAAAACATTAACGCTTTTACAGCTTACTCAGTTTAACGCCCGGTCGCCTTGAACTGAATTGACTAGCCATCAATTGTCCATTGCTTTAATTTAAGGGCAAAAAACTTTATCCGACTCATCAAGTATCCATGCATGCATAAGTGGAGGATGTCTTGAAAGCTCTTTCAGTTTAGATTAATCTAAATAGCTAAAAGCGCATAACATTTTGGAAGAATAGAGTTACTGGTGGCATCGACTACATTGGCTTTTGAAAGAAAAAAAAACCAAATTAGTTCAAAGTTCAGGGGAAGTTCATCCATGGCAGCTCTGAAAAATTTCCTTCCCGAGGTAATTTTTCCTTTTAATCATAGCTCAAATTCTACTCACTCTATTAATTCACTTGTCAGCACAACGTCCCTATCGTGAAACTGAATTATTATTATTGATTTTAAACGTTGCAGATTATATTTTTGAGCTAAAAATAACGAAACGTTTCTAAGGATAACTGGGGTAAAGATATTAAATCACTGTCCTAAAACTAGAAAGGATTATAAGCAATGAAGCCGTAAAATAACCAGAAGAGTGCTTAAGAAACGTAATTGTATTGGAGCTAAATATTCATAAATTCGAGAAATGCAATGAACGTTACAGCTAGACAGGGGGTGAGTTAAAACCAAATTCAAGGAAATATCAAGTCAAGGAAATGCTTGATTCGTGAATACAATTTACAATAAACTTGCATAGACTTTTTATGTGCTCAAAGTCAACCTTCTTGTGTGTTTTGTGTTTAAAAAACTGGGGAAGTCTAACTCGGGTGAATTTCAAAAGTTTCGAGGTAAAAATTGATAAATTGTTGGGGTTCATATTTGGACGACCTGCGGTTCATATTTCGACGACTTGTGTATTTCAAAACATTCTTCATGATTCGGCTCAATTCAAATAAATACTGAAAAAAGTATCATGTATTGCATAACTCTTTGTTCATACTCGCAGCGGTGTCACTGCAAAACATCCAACATCACAGTGACTGAAAAGGTTTCCTGGATTCCATCAAGTATACAGTTTATAAAAATGAAGTTCTTAACCTCCGTGTTCTATCAATATTTATCAAAAAATAAGATATGCAAATGCATGTAAATTGGTGATAAAGCACCAAAGCACAATTCTACGGCTGATATTTTGTTGCTACTTCGAGCTCGAAGCTACAAAAACAATACTCAAACTGCAGTTACGATGCATATAAATAATTCTCACTAGACCGCACTTTATGACAAACGGACCAAACGAGTCTTCCATAACACAAATTAATCTAAAAGTTCAGCGGTGATATGTCACGACTCCGTCGTCCTGAAACATCAACTTATTTCATGATGGGGAAATATTTGTAAACAGTTAACTTGGCACCTCTTTAATGATTACGAAAAACCAAGAGCCCACCGATATTTTTCAAAATTAAGAAAAAACATATTACAGACCTGTTCCTCTTGGAACCAAATCGCATCAAAGTTGGTCTTCACTTCAATTTATCTCTTTGTTCATGGTAGAAACATTTCTCTTGCGTTGACACTGCCGAACCATTTGGAGGAGCTCATATGCAAATTCATCAACAGATTCGTTTTTTCCCCCGCTTGTCGGACTAAATAATCTTTTATGGTAGGGAAGCACTCCGTCAGTTCCCAGTGTCATCTGCAATGTTTAATATCAAGTAATGCATCGTGGTTTCCCTAACACGAATTTTAATACAACCATTCAAAATGATCTAAGATTAAAACGACGCGAAATTGTCCTTGTTTTCAAAATAGTACAACATGCATGCGATTTGATATTAAGCTTTCAAAAGACCTTCGAGGAAATAATGTAAATATTACTTCCCAAAACAAAAGAGATAAATTGGTTTTGATATATTTCTACATCGCAATATGTTCCCCACGGTATATTTCATGCGACAGCAAAAAATGCTTAATTTTGCGAGAATTAGAAATTCGAAAAGCTTTAGGCCAGGTAACGGGTTATTGCAGATAAGGTTTTAGCAAAATAAACAAGTGACGTGGATATAAGAGGGTACGAAATTTTTTAATTACAGTCTTTATTATCTGAGACTAAGCGTAGCATTATTACATTGCACCAGCTTTATGGAGAATTGACATGACATGTTACCCCGGCAGGGTTCAAGAGAATTACGATTTCGTACCGACTGTCGCGTATTATGCATTAATTTTTTTCGACTACCTACAAAACCAGGTATTCGACTTTTCTTTAGACGTGTGTCTTTTAATCTAGAGCAATTAACACTGCGCGACCACCTACTAGCCAATATTTCAAAACTAACCTTACTTGCAGTCAAGTGATCCATAATTCCGGTTTCGAATAAAATAGATTATCTGCCAAAATCATTATTGGTGCTTGTACCAAGCCGATATATGAATTTTTTTAAATGCGTTCTGATTAGCTGATGAAAAGATGTGGTCAGGGAACTATCTATGATCATCCGTGGTAAAAGGATGGTGAATGCAATGGCAGCGTATCATAGCACGTCTTGTGAGCGTTCCATAAATTAAGAATCTACCGTTGTTTTCGGCCACATCATGATGGTAAAAGCGCAGATCGTTTGAACAACCCGACGACGGGGACGGAAAAAACAAGTGATGACAAAGAGAGATAAGGGTTAGCGCATGTGCCTTGCCATGGCCCCTGGATAACATGGCGGAACAACAGGAAACAGATGATGATGGAGGGCAGGTGTTTGACTTCAATGTTAAAAGATGTACTGGCATGGCAGGTACATGTAAAACTTTGCCCATTGTTTTGGTTCGGATTTTTTAAGACAATGAAGTTATTGTTATCTGTCCTTAGGGATTTTTTATCCGGTGACGCAAACTTAGACACGGGTTTAGTCGGCTCCAGTTCGCAAATTTTCAATGATGACATTTTGGTTCCCCACGGGAGTCTACTAAGGAAAATATAGACAGACTAGCAGGGTAGGTCAAAAGTTTAACATGACGCGTCTGTCGGATGGATGTTGATTTACACGTTGATTCACGTAGGTTGATTCACACCACGCGATTCGAGTTGTAGTCATGGCGTAAGCTTTCATTCACGTCTTTATCCCTAGTTCAAATATATGACTTTCATATATTCTCAACCATTTATTCATCACTTCACGGGTTTATTTAGAACCAACTTCATGACCAGCTCCCAGTTGGCTTGTTAGCTCATTTGGTAGAGCGCTGCACCGGTATCGCAGAGGTCATGGGTTCAAATCCCGCACAGGCCTGAATTTTTTTCAGGCCTTATTTTCACTACTGCCTAAGTAGTGCACTGCGAGGATCACTTTCATTCACGTCTTTATCCGCAGTTCAAATATATGACTTTCATATATTCTCAACCATTTATGGCGTAAGCTTGTCGCATGCGATAGTGTCCAACCGTGTAATGGTCCACTTCAGTACACAGTAAATAAATAAAATATGTATGAAATCAGTAAAAGTAATTTATTTTAGTCATGTTATTGCGAGCAAGCGTTCTTGGAATTCGCGTTAAATTTGTTTTGTTCTAAAGTTGTTTTTGTTTTGCCAACGCGACGCCTTTTTAAAATAAACAGAGGGCAAGCAAAATAAAACTGATCCTGGAAATTACCTCTTTGAGAAAATAAAGGAAAGAAAACTGCGTGCATGTCTTTATTTAACCACTGACGCAAGGAATGTAAAAGAAACAACGCTGTTGTTGTCAAGCCTCAGGAACAAAGAAGTGTGATTTCACACCTTTTTACGTTTGAGTGATGTCGCTTTTCGGACAGGGCCCAGATAGTTTGAAAGAACATATATATCCTTCGTTTCGCGCGCAAAGCGACAGATGAGAACGCGAAAAACAATGTGCTCATCAAGTTCAAAAAAATTCTCCTACCCACAAATTAAGAAAACCACTAAATCATAAAAAATGAACTTTTACCCTCACACTTTGCAATGCTAAAGGCGTCTTTAAAATGAGAGTGTTATTAACTATTGCCCCTTAGGCTTTGTCTCCTTAAACGTCAACCAACAACTTAGTAAATGCAAATATTTCGATTCCGCTAAACAGTCCACGCGGTTTTGCTTTATGGATTATCAACCATCATTTCACGATTATTGAATCAAGACAAGGCTTGCAAAGTGGTGGTCGCCAGCCGCAACCTCCTACACTTCAAACTGAAATTAGCGACAAACAACTGAAAATACGTCCTGACTGGCGACGGTTGTCAATTAATGAGATGTTGCTTTTTCTCCCCGTTCGATTTTGAACTTTATCCCTCCAATATCCTCCAAGAAAATCTGAAACTTTCTCGGCCTGTTACTGAAGGGAACAAAGTTTATCTATTGATCGTGATCGCATTAGGATACACTCAGAGTAAGATAGAGGGTTTAGATAGGTTCTCACTCTAATGCCATCAAAAGGGGCACTGGAATTTAAATCACGGAATTATGCATGAAGACCACAAAAAAAACAAACAAACAAACAAACAACAACAACAACAGCAGCAGCAGATTACTTTGAAATGCGCATATGATTCCTATGAAGACATGTATATTCAACGGACCTTTTGGCCTGAAGAAGATTCACCGTTCCTAAGCAGTTGGAATGACGCGATCCACATCGGAAGTGATACATACGATTATACTTCATTGTCAGTATAATTTTATTATTGCATGTAAAAGATACCTTTTAACGACGTGCCTTCAATCAGACGACAAATTCATCTAGAGTTCATTTTCTTGATCTATGTCAACCAGTTCTTGGCTTGTGCTTGCTTTTAAGTTTTCTTTACCCCTGTCTGCATTCTCAATCGTAGTCACAAGCAGATGAACCTTTTTTAGGCGGGTGCCTTCCTCGACCGCCTGACCAAGAGCGCAGAGCATAGTGGACATCATAGAGAATCCTAAAATAACCCCAGCTGCCATCATTAGATATTCGCTGACCTCAACTCTTCCATCCTCGAAGGGCAAGAAATCTCCCAATCCTATGGTACTAAATGTTATAAAACAGAAGTAAAAACTCTCTAAGTAAGTCCAATCTTTTCGTCTCAAATCTGCCATAAAAGAAATCACAGCAAGAGTGAAGATAGCCAAGAAAGTGGCGACCAAGGCACTGTCAGTTGCTTCGCCGTGTATCGTGTCTCGTCTGAGAAATTTGTTTTTCACAGCCCTGATCATTTTCGTAATACTCTCGTTGATATTTGTACCCACTACCTTGAAAACCACACATGTCAGTGGTATTCCAAACAGTGCATACACAATACAAAAAATCCTGCCCCATGAAGTCAAGGGAACTATGTGGCCATAGCCTGCAGAAAGAAAGTCACAGTTAATTACAAAAACTGAAACCAAAAAAAATGAAAGAAAAACGTCAACAAATCCTATCTTACCCTTTTCAATAAATTACACAACGACTAACCCAAGATGATCGATTTTAATTATATTTCCGACTATGTATATAATAACTCACAACTTCGCTTCGCATGGGTCGCCTACTGTGCTGTAAATGCTGCGTTTACGTCCGTCGATGGAAAAAGGCGAATGCCTTACCTTCATATTCACTTATACTTATTCACTCACTCAAGGCTCCGTACCTTTACCTGATTTCTTTGGTCATCAGAGATATTATCGACGAATGAACTATTTCAATAAACCTAGTTATTTCTTCATCTACTCTCATAAATCAGTGGGAAGGTCCAAACCGTTAGACGATTGAAACCGAAATTAGAAACTAATAGGTCAGATCCTTGCTTCAGTATTCAGCTGTTGGCCAGAAGCAAGAAAAAAAAAACCTATCGTCGGAATACAATGGATTCGGAACTCAAACAGAGAAGTCTTGCCCTGAATATTTTGGAGCCATGTATTCTTGTTGCAATAACAATGGTGTGCCTGATTGGAAACAGCCTCACATGCATAGCCGTGTACAGAAATGCAAGGCTCCGTACGTCCACAAACCTCTACCTGATTTCCTTGGCTGTCAGTGATATCATCCACGCTGCAATCGTAATGCCTTTGACTGCGGGTGTCCTCATTGCAGGGGAATTGCCTTACGGTGAAACAGTCTGCGATTTATTCGCGTTGTTCACCCAGTTTTCTGTTTACGTATCGCCAACCACGATGGGATTGACGGCCTTCAACAGATACGTCCGCATCGTTAAGCCTCAACACTACTCACGAATCTTCACTGATGCTCGATCAAAAATATATGTCGCTGCAGTTTGGCTGACTATCGTGGGGTACATTTCGATTCCCAAGATGGCAGGCTTCACTGAAAAAAGCTTCTTTGCCGGACACGCCGTTTGCATCTTTGTGCAAACCACTGTAGCTATGAAGACAATTCATTATATTATTGTCGTCTGTTTTTTTCTTCTTCTTCCACTCGTAGTTGCATCAGTTTCTTACTACAAGGTCTTCAAAGAAATAAAACATCACAATCTAAACATGGCTTCAACAGCCCAAGCCGAAGGCAATGAAAATCGATTGACAGTCAAAGAGATCAAGATTACCAAATCGCTTGCCATTGTTATGTTCACCTTTATATTATGTTGGGTCCCATTTTGGATCATTGTGGTTATAGAGCGCTTCATTGCTGTCGTTCCGCGTAACATCCAACTGCTCTGTCCCTTTTTAATGGCCTTCTCGAGTACTATAAACCCATTTATATATGCTGGCATGAATCCCTCCTTCCGCGCCGAGTTTCGTCGAATTTTGCTCTGCAAAGTAAAGTCATCACAAGTGTGTAAGGAGTTTCGTTGTCCAAAAGATGTCGAGTTGAAGAAAATATCGGCGGGAAGCGCCCGTAGCGTGGAAAATCAGGAAGAATAGAAAAGTACCTCGGTCGTGGACCGGGTGGTCAACTTTCGAAATTAATGCATTTACTATTGCAGCATCATTCACGTATTGGTTGTTCTATTGCCTGTTAATTTAATTGGTTATGAATGTTATCCGTTGTTTGTCGGCTGGATGTATTGAATGCCTTATTACGTCAATTTCAAGTTTATGTAAATTTATTTTTAAAAAAGATGAGCAGCGACAAATATCGAATCCTAGGATAATAGAAATTAAAAGAATAAACTTGCTGCATGATGAAACTGAAAAAACAACTTCTTCATCTTCATAAAGCAAGCAACATTTTTAGTTTACAAAGTATGTTTCGACATTGTCATAATGTAACTTCAGTTGCGAAAATACTGCATGCTCGTTAGCTAGTTGAGTGCTCACCATATATGTCGAAGTTAGTGAAAAAATACATGAATTCATATGGAGTTTTTATATGTAAAACAGTTTAACTTAAATTTTTGGATTTTATTTTCATGTAAAAATTTTTTTTGAAACCATAGTATTTTTAAAAAAATCTGTCAAAGGGCACATTCCCCAAAAAATTCGAACCATATATTCAAAACAATACATCTCAAACTGCACATCCGAAAAAAGAACCAAATCTTATGTTTCCAGAACATACAACAACCATGTGGGAAGTATAAAATTAAAGAAATATATGTTATTCGCCAGCCGGGAGGTCCGTATTGGGAAAAACTATGCCGAGGCCGTAGGCTGAGGGAGGTACTCAACACAGAGGGCACAATTCTTTCCAGTACGGACCGACTTAGGCTGGTGAATTACATTTTTATCATTTTTTTTTTAAACTTATCAAAATTCTTTCCAAAGGAACCCAAATGATTTAGGGCTTTAATTACGGCAAGATCTTTCATTAACTGAACAATTTTTGAGCGAGTAAATGGTAGTTTAAATAGAGGTGTGTGGGCGGCCGTCACCACCAAAAATACAAGGATGTCAAAAAGATCAGCAAATACAAAGCTGGTCTAAAGATCAGCTGCAGGATAGAATAGCTAATAAAGGAATGGCATGGCCAAATTGTAGACGGTTTAGTCTTCCTTCGTGAAACAGAACACCCTAAACATGGATAGTTTAGCCAAATGATAAACGGTCTAGTTGCCCATGTCGATTTGGAACATGAAATTGTGAAATGGACTAGCTCAATTGCGAATAGCTTAGCACTCATTAGCAATACAGTACACAAACGATGATGCGTTGCGTCAAATGGCTCAGGGTAATGTCGAGTTGCACAGCGTACGCGCAAACGGTGTAGCGTTGCGTGAAATAGCTCAGCGTAATGTAGAATGGAACAGCATACACACATATGGTGTAGCATTGCGTGAAATGGCTCAGCGTAATATCGAATGGTACAGCGTACATACAAACAGTGTAGCGTTGCGTGAAATGGTTCAGCGTAATGTCGAATGGTACAGCGTACACACAAATGGTGTAGAGTTGCGTTAAATGGTTCAGCGTAATGTCGAATGGTACAGCTTACATACAAACAGTGTAGCGTTGCGTGAAATGGCTCAGCGTAATGTCGAATGGTACAGCGTAGACACAAATGGTGTCGTGTTAGGTCGAATAGCTTTGCAGAACATCAGATGCTCTTGCTGAACATTAAATTGCTCAGTATTACTTGAAATATTTCGATGTTGTGGCGAATCGTCGAGCTTGCTTGTGGTGTGACGTGAAGGCCATGCCATTCTTTTATTAGCTATGCTATCTTGCAGCTGATCCTTAAACCATCTTTGTATTTGCTGATCTATTTGACATCCTTGTATTTTTGGTGGTGATTGCCGCCAAGGCTATCTCGCCGAAACAACCAAAAATACAAACCGCAAATGGAACAGCGATCTGCTGGGGGCATGACGTCATCGAATGTGAAGACTACCGCGAAACCATCACATGGCGTAGTCGCTGTATTGAATAGTCTTCACTTCGCTTTGCCGTAAAGCAGAGCCAATTCGGTAAGTTTCTCCTCTTTTTTTCCCTGCCGATACTGCATTTAGTCGTTGTCGTTCATGAAAGCGTCAATTAAAATAGCAACGAGACTGAATTCTACCACGGTTGCCGGGCTCCTGGTTTACCCGCGTTGGTGGGCCTGAATATGTTTATAGTGTTAAGTAGTGTTTTGACGTGCATTAAATGTCGATTGTCGAGCTCTCTTTTCTTCTTTGACTCACGCTTACTTTTCAATGAGAGTTTGACTTCAACGGCTCTTTGAACATTGGAGGAGTACGTAAGAAGTTGAATTTTCTGTGTGCTCTGGACGCCATGGTAAGAAAACTGATATCCTTGATCTGTTTTTACATTTTTCAATCAAAGTGATATCGGAATGCTTTAATTGGTATGCCGGACGATAAAACCAACTCGGAAAAAAGGTTGCTTTGGCAAACACAACATTTTTGATTAACAAATGTCAAAACAGATCAAGGATATCAGTTTTACTTACCATGGCGTCCAAGGCACACACAAAATCCAACTTCTTACGTATTCCTGCAATGTTCAAAGTTTGCAGTTAAACTCTCATTGAAAAGTAAGCGCGAGTCAGAAAAGAAAAGAGAGCTCGGCAATCGACATTTAATGCACGTCTCAACACTACTTAATACTATGAACATTCAGGCTCACCAACGCATGCAAACTGTGGTAGACCGGGAGGCCGGCAAACCGTAAAAGAATCCAGTCTCGTTGCTATTTTAATTAACGCTTTCACGAACGACAACGAATAAATGCAATATCGGCGGGGGAAAAAAAGGAGAAACTCACTGAATTGGCTCTGCTTTACGGCAAGGCGAAGTGAAGACTCTTCAACACAGCGACTACACCATCTGATGGTTTCGCGACAGTCTTCACATTCGATGACGTCATGCCCTCCAACAGATCACTTTTCCATTTGCGGTTTGTACTTTTGGTGGTTTCGGCGAGCAAGCTCGACGATTCGCCACAACATCGAAATGTTTCGTGTAATGCTAAGCAATTTAATGTTCAGATAGAACGTCTGATGTTCTGCAAAGTTATTCGACGTAACGCTACAACATTAGTGTGTACGCTGTATTATTCTGCATTACGCTGAGCCATTTCACGCAACTCTACACCATTTGTGTGTACGCTGTACCATTCGGCATTACGCTTAGCCATTTCACGCAGCGCCACACCATTTGTGTGTACACTGTACCATTCGACATTACGCTTAGCCGTTTCACGCAACGCTACACTGTTTTTATGTACGTTGTGCCATTCTACATTACGCTGAGATATTTCACGCAACTCTACACCATTTGTGTGTACGCTGTACCATTCGACATTACGCTTAGCCATTTCACGCAACGCTACACTGTCTGCATGTACGTTGTACCATTCTACATTACGCTGAGCTATTTCACGCAACGCTACACCGTTTGTGCGTACACTGCGCTACTCGACATTACCCTGTGCCATTTCACGCAACGCTACACCGTTTGTGTACTGTATTGCAAATGAGTGCGAAGCTATTCGCAATTGAGCTAGTCCATTTCACAATTTCATGTTTCAACTCGACATGGGCAACTGGACCGTTTATCATTTGGCTAGACTATTCATGTTTAGGGTGTTCTGTTTCATGAAGGAAAACTAAACCGTCTATAATTTGGCCATGCCATTCCTTTATTAGCTATTCTATCTTGCAGCTGATCCTTAAACCAGCTTTGTATTTGCTGATCTATTTGACATACTTGTATTTTTGGTGGTGACGGCTGCCCATAGAGGTGATGCAAATTATATATATATAAAATTAAAAAGAGATGCTCCACCGAAGTTCATTTGCGTAATGATAAAGGTGATTTAAAAGGCTTCCAAACAAATTTTGAAACATTATTTTAACAAGTATCTGTCACAATCTGACGCTTGTCAAATGGCAAGGAAAGTAGTTGTAAATGAATTCAAATTTTCGATTTTGAAGTTGAGAGTTTGCCCGTTTGTTTGCTGCAATGCAATTTTAACAATCACAATCACATCTGACACAATCTGACACCTGTCAAGTAGAGAGCGCGTAAGAAAAAAAAGCGCATGTACGCTTTTGAAAAACAGCGAAACTAGCGTTGCAAGGACTGTCACGACAATGTTTTCTTCAAAAACAGTCGATGATCCTAGGGAAAGTATTATTCACTCTCACCGACGATTAATTCATGTACGAAGATCTACCTCTGTTCATTAAGTAAACAGCGAGTAAAGTAATTGTAATTGTCTCAACGAGACTCATGGGATTTAGTGGTGCTTTTTCTCACTGAATTCCTTCAGTTTCTGATGTGCAATTTACGATACAAATGTCGAAATTGAACCGACTTGGAAAAACTCACTGAAAGCGTCTTTATGGTAGAACTGAAAACTTCGTTCGCCCTCTCTTTACGAACAAATTGTTTGAGAGAATTCAGACATTAAATGAACAGAAGTTCCATCAATTAACTCGATTGCAACCAAATACTTTTTAGATACTTTGTGTGAAGGATTTCTATTTTTTTTTATATCTCTCTGTCAACTAAAGTGACTGAAAAGAGGGGATATATATGTTATTACCGGCTTGGAGGTCCGTATGGTGGAAAACTGTGACCAAGGTCTTAAAAATGGTGCCCGAAGCCGTAGGCCGGGGACCGCATTTTCAAGACCGAGTTCACAGTTTTTCACCATACGGACCGACCCTTGGCCGGTAAATAATATATTAATTTATCATATTTTTTTTTTTATACAAAGCTCGCTCTTTCACTACGAACAATTTTTTTTGAGAAAATACAGATATTTAATATTTCTAGGTACTTTTTGTCGACGATTAAAATTAATTGAAGACGGTTTTTAGGCCACTTGTCAACCAACGTAATGACACTATTGCTTACACAAATTCATTCTGAAACCAATATTTTCCTGTCAAACAAAGAGATTTGAGGGAGAGAAAAGAGAGGAATAATAAGTTATTTATCGCCTCGAGGCAGTGACCGACGTATTTGCATAAAAAT